GGTGCTCATAAAGCACGGGGTCAACTGCAGCAGTAGTTAGAACCTTCACCAGTCAGACACGGTTTAACCAGTTGACATCCGCGGTGTTAAACCCCCTTTCCGCGAACGAGCACATATAGGCGATCGGCGGGCTATGGACCCGCTGATCACCTATATGTGAAACACCCGGTACCGGGTATTCGCATTGGACGGGTCTTTTCTGCCCGTGCGTGCCCGCCAGATGCTGCAGTGCCGTCCGTCCGTTTTTTTACTACGGGCGGACGGCAAGAGGTTAATAAAGAAAGGTCTCAGCCAAAATCTAGTGCAGGGTGGGACCCACCGGCAAGAACAGAGCATTAAAAAGGACTTCCAACCCCTTATCGGTTGGGTCTTTAAAGGCAGGTGCATCCTCCATCAAGGTGGTAGTCACTTTGTTAAAGGAGAACTATGGGGTTAAGTCTTTTCCCCATAGTTCTCCTTAGGGTAACGGGAGGACACAAACTAGCGTCCTCCCGTCACCCTAGGCTCAGTATACAGCGAGCTATAGCTCGCTGTATACTGAGACGCCGCAGTATACCGCGAGCAGCACCTCCCGATCTACTGAGCCGACCTGTGACAGTCTCATTGTCACAGGGTGGCTAGAACTATGAGGTGAGTGGAAATCACTCACCTCATAGTTCTCCTTTAAGGGGAGATACAGCCAGAGCCACTATGGGAACTGAACTTGGCATGCCAGTGGTTACATCTCCTGTGCTTTACTCCCCAGTAGGTGGTAAGGTTTCACAATAAAAACATTTTTTATTACATACAACTCAAAGTCCATTTCCACCTTTGCAAGTAATGAGCATTTATTGTGGCAATGTAGAGGGTGCGGTGATGATGTATACCTGCGCACATCTTCATGACTCGCTGTTAGGATCCAGAGCGCCTCCAGGTGGCGCTGGAGCTGAGCCCTGCAGTTCCTGGGCTCACCTGCAGGATTCTCCAGGCAGCCAGGGGCTGCTAGGTGCCAGACCACCACTGGGTGGTGCTGGTACCTGCAGCTCCAGTGCTCACCTGTGGGTGTCTCCCAGCTGCCAGGAATCAGCCCATTAGATGTTGCTCCTGGGAGGGTATTTAAACCCTCCCTTCAGTCTGGACCTTGGCTCAGGATTCCGTTGCCTTCCCCCTGTTGTCTGAGTCCTCTGGCCTGAACCCTGATACCTGTATGCTATCTTGTACCCTGGGCCCTGTTTCCTGTGTTGTTACACCCGTTGTATGTTCTAGGTGTTGGGGGTTACATTATTGGTTTATGCCTGTTGTGGATTGTTTCTGTTAGCTTGCTAAGTTTATTAAAATATTTATATATACCATACTTGCCTGGTCCGTGTGGTCACACGTGTTTGGTCCGCCTGTATGGGTACCTGTGCAGGTGTGGGGTCACCTGTGCCGGTATCCCTGACACTCGCATTGCAGGCCTTCTTCAAATTTTCATGAAGTTTTTATTATTTGGCCTGAATCCACAGGAAACTCAGTCTGACACAGGGATCGGACTGTAAAGCAGACTGTAAACAGCCCCCTGGTGATTGTGTAACACATATATGAAGAGGAAAGCTAACAAAAAAATTACGTTTCTGTGTTCATATACATCAACTGCATATGCCTGCTTCATGTACACTCGGTGTACGTTGCTGACATATGGTTTTTAAAAAAAAATACCTCAGCAAAGGTGTAAATGGGCTTTAAAACTGAACTCCGGGACGACCATGAATTTCCAGAGGGGCCTGCAATGAGTAGACCTGTTTTGTGATGCTGTTTGGTCTGTCCCACCCATGGGAGGAACTGACATACAGCACATCAACCGGCCGGTAGCTCGGGTGAAGGGAAAAGGATGATAGGGATCAGTCCTATAAACCAGTTGTTGGATTAATCAGGCCCTGTGGATGTCACCTTTCAAGGTGGTTTTTCCAGACATTGCTGCTATTATTTAAAAGATGAAAGGAGATTCGCATACACTAGAGCCGTGGTTCTCAACTGGTGGGCCGTGACCCAAAAAGTGGGTCGCAACCCCATGTTCAGTGAGTCGCCACATGCCTTCCACTGTGCCTTCCACAGCCTCCCCCTAGCACAGCGCTTTCCGTTGTCGCTCCGAGCAGCCTGCCCGGTGCCGAGTGTCAGCTTGAGGTGGGGTGGGCTGGGTGGCCGTGAGCTCCATCCATACGGGCATTGCTTACAGCTCCCTCACGTGTCCTGTAGAGGCGACTGGACCGGAGTGACGTCACATTCTGGCTCCCGGCACCTCTACAGGGCACACAAGGGAAGCTGTACAAGCAATGCACATATGGATGGAGCTCCGACACAGTACCGCAGACCACACTGGACCCCAGGCTGAGCTGTGACTTGAGTCGCAACTTAATGACCAAGGACAAATGTGGGTGCTGAGGTTACACAGGTTGAGGACCACTGGTCTAGAGGGCAGATTTAAAACTCTTCACTACTGCCTCTAGGTGGCAGTAGTGAAGAGTTATAAATATTCGCTTTTTCCAACAAAGTTCCAATATATGGTCTGAATGATTACAGGCCAAGGAACCGCCTACAATCTAATCAATCTCCCAGACTGTCCCTTCAGCCAAGGAACAATCACTTGCCTGGAGCTCAAAGACTGCCCTTTAAGGCCCATTTAGATATATGCGTGTGCATCCTGGTTAAAAGGAGAACTATGAGGGGGGGGGGGGTGCTTTTCACTCACCTCATAGTTCTAGCCGACCTGTGACAATGAGACTGTCACAGGTCGGCTCAGTAGATCGGGAGGTGAGCGAACACATAACGGCGTTCGCTCACCTCTCGATCCGGTCACAGCCCTCTGCCGTGACAGGGGAGGGGCTGGATTCCCCCCTCCCCGCCAGCGCTGACTGGCGGATCGGACGGGGGAGGGGGCGTGTACAGCTGGCTCTGCCTCTAGATAGGCAGAGCCAGCTGTCACTCACGCAGCTGGGCTGATCCAGACATAATTGTCGGGATCCGCATCAGCTGCGGCGTCTCAGTATACCGCGAGCTGCAGCTCCCTATATACTGAGCCTAGGGTGACGGGAGGACGCTAGTTTGTGTCTTCCCGTTACCCTAAGGAGAACTATGGGGAAAAGCCTTAACTCCATAGTTCTCCTTTAACTTAACCAACACCAGCTATAGAAGCCAAGAATAGTTGTAACAAAGATCTGTGCTCTTGGAAGACTGCTAAAATTTTAAAAAATTGCAAATTTCCATAGCTGCAGAAATCAGGGACTACCCAATCTTTATCTAAGCACCTTTAGCGCTGTGTTAACACTTCCAAATTACCATAGAAGCCAAGAAGCCGCCACCGGCAATCTCAAACCAAGTGTGGTACATGTGCCACTTGGAGGAGACCACCGCTCAGGTATAAGAACCGCCGTCTCCGTTCCACTCATTTTAAAATAAAGGTTAACAACCCCAGAAAGAAAAAAGTAAGAGAACCGGTATAACCACAAAAACATTTATATCGAAGTCAGAGACAAAATATATGTTTATATACATATTTAAGAATACATTTTATATACTGGTCCATCTGGAAGTCCATTTGGGAATTCACAATCACAAAGTTCATTTCAAAGATTAGATCCAGTTGTCCCAGACTACTCATCCTCCCAAAATTATGGAGTTATAACAATGAAAGGTGCTTGACTTGACAACAGATGTCCTCCACTCAAGGGAACTCAGGTTGCCCCTTCCACCCTCCCCCCCCAATCCTTATATACATCCAGTATATCCAGAGTTTTCAGGCAGCCTTGTGTAATGTCTGCTTGATGATGAGGCCAAACGTTATGTCTACACCTTGGAATCTGAGGTCCGGGACTTCAAGGAACCTTTGTGCGTCGTCCTCTCATTGGTGAGCCAACTTCTGACATTTTTTTTAAGTTGAAGCCAAAAGGATCCCAAGAAAGGAAAGTTGGTCCCCATTTAACACCATTGGAAGAATCAGGAGCTATCTGACCTCCAGCGCCATTTTTAAAGTGTATCTAAACCCAAAAACGTTTTTGGAACATAAAGTAGTCTATCAGTACTTAGATGTGGTGGCTGCATTCGTTTTTGTATTTTGGACATTGCTTTCCTTTATTTTCACCTGGTGATCCTGCAAATAACATTCAACTCGATGGACGTGTGTCTTTTTTCAACCTGACTAACATACTTCCTGTCCCTGGGTGGCTATGCTCTGCCCTCCACTATATCTAGGGAGGGAGACACCCGAGCTGGACTTCAAACATGTCTGCCAATGTTCATCTCCCATTACATAGGGGGTGATGGCCACCACACCTAAGGACTGGCAAACTGTAATAATGTAACATATTGGTTCTTGGGTTTAGTTATCCTTTAAGCGACATTGTCTTATGTTTATTAGACTGTAACAGGTTACACCCGCAAAAGGCACAACATAGGGAAGCTCGGAACTGAATCTCCTCATCCTAAAGGCACGGAATGGTGTAGGACAGGCATCAAGTAGCAAGTTGGTCTGTAAACCGCTTAGATATTGGCTTTCCTTGTGATGGCTTGTAAACCATAATCACTCCAATACCAAAAAAAAAAGTTCTTGAACTCTGAAAACTTTATTGCAGGCGACGTCATATTGTCTTTCCAATCATGTGGAAGGCACTTTGTTCTCAAGTTTTCGTACTTAGCAACCGTGTCGCTTTTGAAGGCCCTTTTCTTCTTTTTAGGCCTTCATAAGGCCTCACTGTACTGTAGACTTCTCATTGTGGTTGCCAACTGTTTCTCATGATATCTGTAGCCTGACAGCATGTGGTAACCCATCAAACGGATGCGAATTGTCGTACCTTAGCTCTGAAGGTACAAATACAGTAGGGGGAACCATCACTAAAGTACCAGTGTGTAGAATCCAGGAACCACACATTGTATCCTCTTACATCTTCGATACCGTTATGTTATTTGGTCACGTTTCACATAAAACTTAAAATCCGGGTTTTCTTCTTACTCATTTTGTCTTTGATGGAGCCATTTACGGGTCCATGGCGCCATAGTGGCATATCTCCTTTCAGTTTTTGTCCGGTGAAAGCCAGCGACATCATGCATGTCTAAAGTGTGGAGTCCCTGACCAGATGTCCATTGTCGGCCAGTATTCTCCTCTCGGTGTTCGTTGACTTGATGGAGGTTGAGTATTTGGAGCCTCGGTTACAACAGAAGCAGAGGATCCGTTTGAAGGTGGCCCTCATCTCATTGTCCCTGTAGGAGTAGACAATGGGGTTGATGACGGAGTTGAATTCAGCGAGAAGAAGGAAGTACTTTTCCACTGTCAACACATCACAAGATTTGCAGCCCAATCCATCCAGAAGGAGGACGACTTGCCCGGGTGTCCAGCAGATCACAAAGGCACCTATGAAAAAAAAATAGACAAGTAAGCAAGGGGAACAATGTAAAAATAATCGAATCAAAGGAAGATTCATACTACAGAGAGAACCCAAACAGAAGGGTAACAAGTAAAGTGGAGACCAAGCCGGTCCCTTGTTTAAAGGGAATCTTAAGTTCAGGTATCTAAGGTCCCATACATATGACTGGGCCCCAGTAGGGGTACTAACTACACATCCCCCATGTACCCAACAATGAAGTTTACAAGTCATTAAAGTGAACCTGTGGCCAGGCCATTCAAGTATTTAACTTTTCTTCATTTGTAAATAAGTTTTAAAAGAAGCCCCCGTTGACCCTTTGTAGCTGAAGGCACTGTGGTGCAGTTCCTCCTCAAAGATCACAGCAGAAACACCAAAGCCCTAAAGGCCTTCCCTTGCCAGTTTAGTTCCTCCTGTTTTCCTATTCCAACAATGACGCAACAGCTCAGCTCCCCCTCCCAGCGGTGTTTCATCAGCCTTCTAATCTTTAATTAGAACTAGGAATGCACCGATACCGGGCTTTCAGTATCAAGTACGAGTACCGATATTTTGCTTTCGGTACTTGCCGATACAGAGTACCGATACCGATGCTTCCGCTGGCAGGGAGCCGGCTTCCCGGGCAATCAGGAAGTCAAGGAAGCCGGCTCCATGTTGTTTGGCCGGCTCGATTGTGATTGGCTGGGAAGTCGGCTTCCCAGCCAACCAGTAATGACCCGGCTTCTTGATTGGCCCGGAAGCCGACTCCATGCTGATTGGCCGTAAAGCCGACTTCCCAGCCAATCAGCAAAGAGCCGGCTGTTCGGCCGGCTCGATGCTGATTGGCCAGGAAGCTGACTTCCCGGCCAATCAGGAAGCCGGGGGGCTGGTTATTACTCGCCACCACGGCCTCCAGATTGCCCAGGAAGCCTTCACTATGTTCCCCTACGGCGCTGCCGGTCAGAAAAAATGTTCCTCTGGCTGGAAGTTCGGTATCAGGGAAGGTATCGGAGCAAATACTTTGTATCGGCACCGATACAAGTATTGGTATCGGTGCATCCCTAATTTAAACACACATTATTATTATTATTATACAGGATTTATATAGTGCCAACAGTTTGCGCAGCGCTTTGCAATATAAGGAAGACATTACAATCACAATACAATTCAATACAAGACGGCAAGGAGGGCCCTGCCCCTGAGGGCTTACAATCTAAAAAGGGAGGGGCAAGGTTAGCCGACCTTCAGTGCTTCTGCTGTGAACTTTGAGGATGAATTGCTCTGCAGTGTCTGCAGCTACAAAGGTCAACTTGGTTCAAAGCTCATTTACAGCTTGTTAGAAATATATAGATATGTGATTGGCCACCGGCTTACTTGCAGCCATAGCTGGGTTTAAGTATCTTAAAGGAGAACTATGAGGGGGGAGGGGTAGTGCTTTTTGCTAGTTTGTGTCCTCCCGTTACCCTAAGGAGAACTATGGGAAAAAGACTTAACCCCATAGTTTTCCTTTAATAGTAAATATATTATAATGATTCAGGATTACGAATGAGACATTGATATCTGCCCCTTCATGTACCGTTTTTGTCCGAGTCTGGCTCTTGTTCAACAGCTTGGTTGACTTGTTACACGAGATCTACCGGCTGCTGCCATTTGTGGCCGGTTTTCCTTCACATAAGCAGTTGAAACCGGACGAGACGGCGTTAATATTTATTAAAAGATGCAATTAGGAACAGAGAGTGTGAATTTATGAGCTCCCCGGCCCCGGCACTAGTAGATCATAGGCCATTAGACCTGTTTAAAGGTTACACCCTGGTGACTTGTCCTCTGATATCCGAAGACTGCGGCCAGCCCTGCCATATAAAATGGGCGTCGGGGACTAAATCCAGCCGGCGAGGAGGTAGGTGCAATTAATCCGCCCTGAATCTGTGAAATGTAAAAACGCCTCGTCTCAGAGACGCAGTAATTACAATGACCTTGGCCGTGCTCTGAGATCTTCGAATGTTTTATATAATGGTTTGCAGGCTTTCAGCATTTCCGGTCTCCGGCGGCTCTTAGTAAGGTCCCTATCTAGCCGTGACTGCACTAGTAGGCTTGCCTCCCCAGAACTACAGATAACACATTTTATAGGTCTCGGTGGGCAGAATACAGCAATGCCGTGCACAAAATGTATAACCAACAAGGATGAGATTTCACGGCGCGAATGTTCAAGAATCGCCTGAAGGAAGGAGGGTTTGTATTTCCATGGCAATCTAATTTCAGCTGACGCCTTTCCAGCAGAGATCAGAAAAGGAAAAAAAAAAGATACATGCAATATAGTTGTTAAGAATGCGCCGATATCGAGTACAAGCACCGTTTTTTTGTTTCCGATACTCACCGATACCGAATACCGATACCGGCATCGGTGGTCCCGCATTATCAGGAACCCAGGTGCTGCCTGGCTTCCTGATTGCCAGGGAGGCCATTGTTTGAAGCCAGGCTGCCTAGCAACAAGTGAAGCTGGCTTCCTAGCAAATAAGGAAGCTGGGAGGCCGGTCATAACAAGCCGTCCGGCTTCTTGACTGGCTAGGAAGTCGGCTTCACTTGTTGCTAGGCAGCCTGGCTTCCTGACCAAAGGAAGCCTGGAGGTCGGTCATGACGTGCCGCCCAGGTTCCTGATTGGTCAGGAAGCCAAGCTGCCTAGCAACAAGTGAAGCGGGCTTCCTAGTCAATCAGAAAGGCAGGAGCCGGATTATAAACCGCCGCCCGGCTCCCTGATTGACTGGGAAGCCGGCTGCATGCTTCCTCGCGGCACTGGTGGTCAGATGGAGATCTCTCTATGACCGGAAGCTCCGGGAACAGGGAAGGTAACGGAGCATTTGGGCGAGTTTGAGTACTCACCCAAATACTCGGTATCAGCAGCGATACCGTTAATAGTATCGGTATCAGTTCATCCCTAATAGTTGTGATACAATAATAAAGTTCAAGTCAAACTTCTTAAAATAAAGTAGAGAAGATCCACACTATACGGTCAGATGTATGGGGACAACCTATAGGTTTAGATGTCTCCAGTAAAGGGTCCCAATAATGCCATACCATACAAAGACATTGTAGACAACCGTGCTCCTCCAACCTTGTAGTAAAAGTGTGGTGATTGCCCTTTTCTGTTCCAACAGGACTGTGCCCTGTGTACAGAGCCAGCTCCATTAAGACATGGTGTAACCAGTTTGGTGTGGAGGAGCTCGAAAAGTCATGACCTCATCCCTACTGAACACCTTTGGGAAATATGGGAATGCCAATTGCCAGCCAGGTCTTCTCATTCGACACCACTAACCGACCTCAACCCTACTGAAGGCCTTTGAGATGAATTGGAATGGCCATTGCCAGGCAGGTCTTCTCATCCAACATGGGTACCTGACCTCAACCCTACAGAACAGCTTTGGAATTAAATGTTGATTGCCAGCCACGTCTCCTCATCCAACATCAGTACCCGACCTCAACCCTACTGAAGGCCTTTGAGATGAATTGGAACGGCCAATTGCCAGCCAGGTCCTCTCATCCAACGTCAGTACCCGACCTCAACCCTACTGAAGGCCTTTGAGATGAATTGGAACAGCCATTGTGAGCCAGGTGTTCTCATTCAACATTAGTACCCAACCTCATAAATGTCCCCCCTCCCCACCACCACTGTTCGTCCACGCTGCTTTCAAGGAGACGAATATTTAATTGATTTTGACTGACAGCACTCGTCTCTGACAGAGAAAAAAAGCTCATCAGTCTACTGCCTTGGTTCTCAACTGGTGGGTCGTGACCCAAAAGTGGGTTGCGATCTCATGTTCAATGGGTCGCCACATGCTTTCCACTTTTCTAGGTGAGAGGCTCCTCTGCCTCCCACTAGCGCAGCACTGTCAGCTCTCTCGCCAAGCTGCTGTGGGCTGCTGTGCTGTGATGAAGCTCCATCCATACGTGCATTGCTTAGAGCTCCCTCACGTGTCCTACAGAGGTGCCTGGACCGAAGTGACATCACATTCTGACTCCCATCTCTACAGGGCATGCAAGGGAGCTGTGCAAGCTATGCACATATGGATGGAGCTTCATCACAGCACAGCAGCCCACACTGGACCCCGGGCTGAGGATCCATTCCAGTTCTCGTAAGGAAGGGAGACTGGATGGATCCTAATGTTTTTGTAGTGTGTACCCTAATTCTGTGCATTCCATTGCAGTGCGACTTGGGTCGTGACTTGATGACCAAGGACAAATGTGGGTCCTGAGGTTACACAGGTTGAGAACCACTGGTCTACTGCTTCTCCTTTCACTGTTCAGTCACTGGATATGGAGGAGACCTGCAAGTGAAAAGGTAGCAGAGGAAGATGGGGTTTCCCTTCCCTTGCAAGGCTTGTGCGGTGCGGCAGAGCTATGTAAATCTCAGGAATACAAATGTATTGGCATGCAAAGCGGCTCCGTATATTGTCTGTATTTAGCTGAATAAATAGGACTCATTGAGCCTCGGATACAAACCGTAGAAAGTAAAAGTGTCTGTATGTCTGTAGTCTGTATATTGTTTATAGCAACCGGATGTTTGACTTGTTATTGGTAACCAGCATTAAACAAACCCCAGCTGCAATACGATGTGTCACAATCCTTGTACTGCACGTGAGCTACAACCAGATACTTGCAGAGTAATGGAGAAAGCTGGGACCCAACGGAGGACACATCGAAGCTGACCTCCGGCCTGCCCTTCACTATTATATCTGACCTCCGGCCTTCCCTTCCGTCTTATATCTGACCTCCGGCCTTCCCTTCCATCTTATATCTGACCTCCGGCCTTCCCTTCCGTCTTATATCTGACCTCCGGGCTGCCCTTCACTGTTATATCTGACCTCCGGCCTGCCCTTCACTGTTATATCTGTCCCCCGGCCTGTCCTTCACTATTATATCTGACCTCCGGCCTGCCCTTCGCTATTATATCTGACCTCCGGCCTGCCCTTCACTATTATATCTGACCTCCGGCCTTCCCTTCACTATTATATCTGACCTC